TGTTGAGAGACAAAAAATTGGTGAAAAATGTCTTCTTTGTCTTGATGTTCCAATGAGATGAAACTCTACATATTTGATGCTCAAAATTGCTAAACAGTACCAAGGTGCATTTGATTTGTTGCAAGAAGATGATGGACAATTTGTAAGTCAATTGAGTGAGGAGGGTGGTTTAGGGCCACCTACATTTGATGATTGAAAATTGTTCGTGTGTTTATGAAGTTTTTGAAACTTTTTTATGAAGTTAATTTGCGCATTTCTGGATCATTGTATACCACATCTAACTTGTTTTTCAAGAACTTTCTATTGTGTATGATCATTTGCAAGGTTATTGTGAAGATGATGACTATCTTTTGAGTACCATGACTATGAGAATGAAAAGCAAGTATGATAAGTATTGGGGTCATTTAGATAATATTAATTTGATGTTGTTTGTTGCTATTGTTCTTGACCCACGTTATAAATTGGATGCTTTAGAATTTTGGCTCAATGACAATTACAAGGCTGAGGATGAAGTAGTTAAGGTTCAATTAGTTGAAAAGATCAAAAGGGTCATTGACCAATTATGCCAACAGTACACTAGATTTAGTGTGAGGTGTGGAGTGGGGTCAAGTGTTGACTATGAGAAAAATGTGTCTTCGGCTGAGATGTCTGTTCAAGATCAAGTACCTACAAATTTTATGAATAGGTACCACAAGTATAAGGCTGAGAAAGGTAATGTGGACAACAAATCAGAGTTGGATCGATATTTGATGGAGGATGTTGAATTTGTTAGTGCCAATTTTGATATTTTGAATTGGTGGAAGGTTAATTCTTCTAAATTCCCAATTCTTGCCAAAATAGCTCGTGATGTGTTAGCTATTCCCATTTCTACGATGGCATCAGAATCAACTTTTAGTACTGGAGATCGTATTTTAGATCCTTTTCGGAGTTGTCTGGCACCCAAAACAGTTGAGGGTCTCATATGTCCACAAAATTGGCTTCAATCGTCATCCATTACTTATGACTTTGAAGATGTTTTGGATGATTCAGAAAGCTATAAACTAGATTCAAGTTTATATACTTTTATTGTTATTTTTTTATTATTTGTTGATGAGTTTTTCGTATCTAATTTTTTTCCATACTCTTTTTTATCTCAGAAATAACTGCAGAGACAATTTCAATTTCCCTTGAGTGAAGAGAGGTAAATGACACTAGCAAAAAATGTGCTATTTAACTTTTTTTGATTTTTTTTAGTAATTATAAGAGTATTTGTTATTGTTGTAGATGTTTGAGTTGCTAAAATATTAATTTATTTTTTGTGTAGGTTATATGATTTGTGGTGAACTGCCACAGGCGAAGTAGTTATGATTTTAATGTATTTATGTTTGTGTAACAATTATGGTGGATTATATTTGTGTAACAATTATGGTGGATTGATGGCTAAAACAATTATAATTGTTGTTGTAATTGTTTTAGAATTTAGTATTATTGATTTATTGTGTTGTTAAAATAGTGCATGTTATTTAATTAAATTGTTAAAATAATTCAAAAATTAATAACTATAAAAATGTTTATCCGCCTTCCTACTCGACTTCTTACCTGATTAATCGGGTAGGAAGTCGGGTAGGAATACTAAACCTGATCTGGTAGGGTAGGGTAAAAATTTTTTTTTCCACAAACTATCGGATAGAAATGCGAAAGACTAAATTTCTTACCCGTAGGGTAGGGTGAACACCCATATGCTCAAAGATGCATGCTCCATGAGAAAGCACATGCCATTTTTTTTATTATTCTATATGCATCAAGATTGTGTACCACCAACGGGCTGTTGGCTCAGTAGCTAAGAAGTTGGATTTTCTTGCTCAATAGTTAGGTTCAAGTCTTCATAGTTATGACAGTCCGTTAGAACTAAATCTATTCTTTAGTACCTAGAGCACGCGATGAGATTTTAATTTCGGCACGCGATGAAATCTTAACTTCGGCCACGACATAGGTACAATGGGGTCCCCTGTAGATAACTGTGTGGTGCTAAAAGACAATACTCCTTAGCGGATACGTGGAGTGAAATGTCTACATATTTATTTTTGTGCCAAAAAAGAAATTGTGTATCAAAAGTGTGCACTAAATCATTATCGGATATTAGATGATAATAGGTCTCATTGATCCAACGAGTAATAGTGACTTAGTGCACATAATTGTTTCATTTTTTATACTTTCACAAGTTGATTTTATTAAGCTTGTTGTAACTATACGCTCTTCAATCGATAGAGAAATTAATATTGCACTAGTGACATAATATATTGTGACTAGGCCTATTATTGGATTAGATTTTGATTTGGATTTAAATTCGATTAGTCGGATATAAATTAATATTTTTTATTGATAATTCGAATCCGATATCTTATAATTCACGGATTCGAATTTAAATATACATTTATCCTATCCGATTCGAATTATTTATATATTATGATATAAATATTAAAAAAATTAAGTAATATTTTTTCAAAAAAAATAGTTAGAATTTAGGTACAATTTGTTAAAATTTAGTTACTTAAGTTATTTGGATCAGATTATTAACGGATTTAAATATGGACTACAAAAATAAAATCAATCGACTTATCAGATCAGATCCGAGTCAAACTTTTAAAATTGAATTCAGATTCAGATCAATTAGAATTCTATTTAAACCTGATTCGTTGACGGGCCTGGTTATGATCAATAGATTGATAGTGAAATACATTAAATGTTAGAAAACCCACTAATAATCTAACCATCACAAAATTGCATCACATTGAAATAAACATCACTAATCATCACAATTGTTATGTCCTCAAATTATATCCCTAAATTGTTCACATGATAGATTATTTATTAATTAAGCAAATTTCATTATTACTTTCTGACATATTAGTTTAATCTATTTTTAGTTTATCAAATTATGTCATTTTAATTTTTAAAATTTTTATTTCATTCTTAAATAGTTTAATGGCAAACTTTCATCCAAATAACAAAAAAAACCTACCAACCCGAATGACATAATTTAACATTTGGGAGCAAAGTAAGATGAGTAATGTTAGGGATTTCAAATAAGGAAAGGTGATTCGATTAGTGGGTCCGTTAACTTTTTTAGTAAGACCTATTTATTTAAAATGTAATTTGAAATCCCTAACTTTATTCATGCAAGATTGAGTAAATACTTTTAGGACCACGGTGTAATTTTGTCAGCATGAATTTTGTCGAAACAGTGTAATAAGAAGAGAAGCGATGCAACGAATAGAAGCCTAATAGGAGGGCATTTTGGTCATTTCAGTGCACCGTCTAAACCGCTAGGTGTGAGCGCGTTCATCCATGGAAGATTCCTTTACGAGTGGTTACTAAAACCACCAGAGCCACCTTTATACACATCTCACTGTCCAATAGAATTTCGCGTAGTTTCACTAGTCTCTGTGCGCAGCTGGGTGAGGATAAGATCCTCTCTTTACTTTTCACTAAAATGACGTTACTCTAGGCTGCCACGTGGAGGCTGGCCTGCCAGTCCTAGTACCTTCTGATTGAAGTTTGACATCGCATAACTTGATTTCGACATTAAAAAATTATTTGGAAGAATTTTTTTATAATTCGAATTTGGGTCCATCACCTTTTTTTAATTGGAATTCACTTATTTAACTATTTTTATTGATTTGAGATGCACATTTGAGATACAAATTTAAAATATAGAGCATTGTTCATAGTTCAAATCCAATCCAAATTTAATTCATTGAACAAAGTACAAACATGCTAAAAAGAGTTGCATTAACTTTTAGAGATAATTTTGCGATAACTCAATTGTTTTAAATTTAACATTACTTATATTTTTAAAAGGTCAATCACATTTGCTCTTCAAAAGACATGTTCTAAACTCATTTGAGCTACAGTGAGACTCATTAATTTCATTAATAGTAAACGATTCATCAAAAAGAAAATTAAAAATAATATATTAAAGGAGATTTCAATATCAAAATACTCTGATGGGTAAGTAAAATATGTATCACTTATCAATGTAGTACACATTGTTTCAATTGTGTTACTTATTTATTAAGTGATCTATACCTATCACCAACCATCTTAAAGTTTAGATGAATGAAATCATTTTTAGTACACTTTTTCTTCTTACAGTAACTCCAAAAGGCTAGTTAAAACTCATTTTCTTAACTACTTTAGATAATTTTTCTTTAAAATGTGGTTCCAACAGACTAGTTATTCTCCTATCTATTTTTCATAACCCCATTTTCACTAGTTACATCTAGCTAGCCACTTCTCCCTAACTATTTTAGAAGTTGTTGGTCTAGTGTTTGGATGAGAAGATCAATGGAGAGACAATGACATCTAGTTTGATCAAACTCGAAAGTTTTGAAGCAATTTTATTTTGGATTTTGTGATTTAATTTGAGAGAATTTAGTTTGGGAGTAGTAATTTTTAGGAGGTGGGTTCTTTCTTATAGCCTATAATTGATTAAATTTGTACAAAGTATAATTGAATTGCTATTTTTGAATTTTATTATTAAAAGTTAGGTAAAGTTAGTTGAAGTGATTAGCTAAAATATATAGTGCTGTTGGAGTGAATTTAAAAAATTGGTTAGTTAAAGTAGATAATAAAAAATTTAAATATATTTTGAATAATTATTTTAGATAGCATTGTTGGAGATGCTCTTAGTACATCATCCACCATCAAGGGTGGAGCTAAAAAATTATTTCAGGGCGGGTAGTGTACATTTTAACAAGCTTAATTTTAATTTTTTTTGTAATTGATGAAAATAGAATAATGCATTTATATTTAATTATATCCTATTTTATAAGGTGCAGCAGATCATCTATTCATGTCATCTATCTGTGATCTGAGTTGTAGTTTCTGTGTCTTAGTCTTTTAGTTAATTTATTGCAATAGATTTCTTCTTGATGTGTTGGGCTCATTCTGATCTTTAATAGGAATAAGTTCTGACTTGAGGATTTGCGAAAAGAGCAATCCAAGATCCAGACTTGAGGATGGCACACAACGTGCATAGGATGTCATCACTCTTAGGCGGTGCACTTTTCATAGCCGATGATGTCTTCCCCGGAACTCCAGTCCTTCATGCTGGCTGGCATGTTGCTGCTGNGACTCCTCAACCGGGGTTGGACTTTCATACATAAATTGGACTATTTGGGCTTAACCCATCACATTTATATTTAATTATATCCTATTTTATAAGGTGCAGCAGATCATCTATTCATGTCATCTATCTGTGATCTGAGTTGTAGTTTCTGTGTCTTAGTCTTTTAGTTAATTTATTGCAATAGATTTCTTCTTGATGTGTTGGGCTCATTCTGATCTTTAATAGGAATAAGTTCTGACTTTCCTTCCAGGTCGCATTTGCGAAAAGAGCAATCCAAGATCCAGACTTGAGGATGGCGCACAACGTGCATAGGATGTCATCACTCTTAGGCGGTGCACTTTTCATAGCCGATGATGTCTTCCCCGGAACTCCAGTCCTTCATGCTGGCTGGCATGTTGCTGCTGCTGTTGGAGTTAGCACCTGTAACAAGGTTCTAGAGTAGTGTAGATATTCTAAATCTATTCGCCACATCCAATTTGTCGAAAATGCGTGGGTCGAGCTTCAGCTTGAAGACCATACAAGTGAAGAAGGAAAAGAGGGATATGTAATTTTACGTCAACTTGTTGAAATTCCATTGTTGACTATGTTGTGTTTCCCGGAAACTTCCTTTGAAGTATGTCTTCAGCTATNCGTACAAGTGAAGAAGAAAAAGAGGGATATGTCATTTTACGGCAACTTGTTGAAATTCCATTGTTGACTATGTTGTGTTTCCCGGAAACTTCCTTTGANCATACAAGTGAAGAAGGAAAAGAGGGATATGTAATTTTACGTCAACTTGTTGAAATTCCATTGTTGACTATGTTGTGTTTCCCGGAAACTTCCTTTGAAGTATGTCTTCAGCTATGTTGTCCAATGCATAAGTTGGTGAAATTTTATCCGGGACTGTTATGTATGCTATAAACCTGTGGCAATGCCTGCTGCTTTGTGAAGTTACTCTTACATGGTAAATTTGTCTGATGGACAGAAATTCCGTATATCGCATGGGTAAGGCTGCTAGTGTAGAATACATATGATACAACCACTTAAAAGTATTCAAAGGTTGATTTACTAGTAATTACTACCCTCACTTAGGAAGTCACTGGCTAGCGTAACACTTGCAGCCGGTAAAAAAAGAAGGCACAAATAATATTATAGATGACGTGTATAATGACCTTTAAAATCAATGCAGTTGCAGGTTCAAGCTTGTTTGGTCTACGGCGGCTGTCAAGGTAGCTGATAATACTACCCGCCAACCCCCAAGCACCTACGATACCTGAAAGGTAACAAAGAACTACAGCGGATATCCAATCTTCCTCTTCAACAGTCATATAGAATAACATCAGAAAAGCGCAAGTCGCAAACAAATTGACAAAGAATTCAAAACAATTGATCCCATAGACGCAGTGGTTGTCCACCTCCTTCTCTTTTTTGATGATTTATGTCTTCTGATCAGTCTTCTCTTCGTTGATGATTTCTGTCTTTTGATCAGTTGCCTTGATTATTACTATTACATGTGGCTGATTTTTATATAACTCCTTCTCAGACTCTTTTTCTTGCTTCTGTATCTTGCTCGGATCCATAGATGACATGTTCCAAATGAAACTTTGAGATGTTCTTAGGCCGAACATCTGTGAAAGAGAGTTATGTGTGTGTGAGAGAGAGAGAAAGAAAGAGAGAGATAGAGAGGTTGAGATGGATGAACCCACTCAACATAAATATATATAAATATGGAGAGTGAGAGAGAGCTAGGGAAGGCAGGGGAAGAAGAAGTATGAATTGCGTGATTAACCCAAATTCCTAACCCTAAAAGATGAAGGATTTGTGAAACTCGAATTATCTGGAGAGATGGAACGTGTAGAGAGAGAGTATTGTATTTCCTAGTTTTGGTACACCAAAGACGAAAAATTTAAGTGGAATTTTTTTTTGGGGGGGATAACTTGTGTATCATTGAATCAAAATACATAAAAATTATATCAATCTTGGCGTGTTTTGATTAATCAAGAATTCAATCTCCAACTCCCCACCTATTCCCTAATTTTTCGAGTCCTTATCTTGATATAATTTCGGACTGCTCATCTTTTACAGTTTTATTCCACATTTATTCTTTCTTTTTAGCGATAAATAAAATTAATACATAGATAACATGATGGAAAAAATAATCTTCCTCCATACTTTGATTTTCTGACAACTAAATAACTTTTTTGTTTAGAAAACACAAGGAAAAATAAGAAAGTCGAGACGTGTAATTTGATTATTACCCTTATTTTCCTTAAATTGTTGGGTTTTTCAGGTATGGATACAATTTTCAATACTTATTTGAGCAAAAGTGTATGAGTCAATGATTTATTCTATTAATTACAATTTTTATAATACTTTTTATGTTTAGGTACAAAATTAAAATGAATTAAAATCCTTTTTACTTAAACACCTTTCCTTATTTTATGCAGCCATGATTCACAGTTATTTTAGGAAACGAATATATAAAGATTAAATATTTGTTATCTTTTATTTTTGAATTTTTAATGAGCAGTTTTGTGAGAGATTTATGTATTTATTAACAATTATTTTAGGAAACAAATTTGTAATCTTTACATATTTGTTATCTTATTTTTTTGAATCAAATGTATGTGTTCAACTGATAAGTCTTTTTTAACATAAGTCTTCTTCAACGTGTTCAACTGATAAGTCTTATTTAAAATAAGTCTTCTTCAATGGCGATTTATTTCTCCGATGATGGTTTTCTTTGAAAAAAGAATTGCAAATACTAATTATCGTCATCAAATTGAAGGTGAATTGTTAATAATTATATTTCTTATTTTTTTGGTCATTTTTTGGGAAATTTCTATATTCGATTTTTGTTTTATGTTCTCTTTTTGTTAGAATGGAGGAAAAAAAACTGTTTTGATCTTAATGGGTGTAACTGTTTCTTATAGGTGTAAATATTTTTGGTATGGACAAAATAATTATATTTCTTCTACAATTCAACCATTTTTTTTGGGAAATTCATATGTTTGTTTTTGTGTATGTTTGGTCATTGTTGGAATGAATGGAAAAAAAAAAAAAACTACATTGGGTTTAATGGGTGAAACTGTTTTTAAAATTGGTGTAACTATTTTTAGGTATTGACATTAATGTATGTTTTCAAAAAAATGTTAATATGTCATTGTTTGTTAACTGTTTTATTTTATTCTCAGATTATTAATCAAAGATTGTTATATGTTGTTCGTTTTTTGGGATGAACGGGAAAAAAAATTGTTTTTTAATGTAAATGCTATTGTGTGCAATTTTTCAGTCAATATCTATTTTGAAACATCCTGTATATTTGTAAATTTTTGTTGTTTTATATTTTTCTCCCAGTACGTAGATAATTAATTAATTAATTGATTTGTATAAATGTTTTTACAGCCCCAAGAGCTTTTTGATACAAAGAGCTCAAGTCAGCAACAAAAGGCATTGGACACTGTTTACGGATCATTTGACACTGTTTACTAAGCCTTTTTCATAGAATCAGGAATTGTTACTGAAGTGAAAAGATCAAAGCATTCTCATGAATGTAAAATTGAATTCTTAGATGAATTATCCAATATTGCTTGTTTGAGGCACAAATATGTTTGAATTGGGTAACCCATTGAAATGGCCATAAAGATACCACATTGGAATTGGTTTGACCTCTGTTTTGACTTACCTCTATTAAGAATGTAAACAACAATTAATACATAGAGACAAAAAGACCATTAAAATTATGTTTGATTCAGTAGCAGATATTTAAGACAGTTACAATACAAATAAGATACAGTTATTCAACAGTTAATTAATAAAATTACCGATAACAAATAAAAAAATTGAATCCTTAAAATCATAAAAATAGTTACGCAACACAGTTAAATCCATTAAATTTTGAATACGAGTTGTCTATATATGAATCCTAAATAGTTATTTAAAACAGTTACGTAACTATTTTTAATTAAAAAAATCATGAACCATAAAGTTGTCAATAACAGACTTATAAGAATTGAATCCTTAAAATCAGAAGAATAGTTACGCAACACAGTTAGACCCAATAAAATTTTGAATATGAATTGTCTAAATTTGAATCCCAAATAGTTAATTAAAACAGTTACACAACTATTTTTAATCAAAATAATCATGAACCAAAAAGTTGCCAATAACAGACTTATAAGAATTGAATCCTTAAAATCAATAGAATAGTTACACAACACATTTAAACCCATTAAATTTTGAATAAAAAAAGTCTATATTTGATCCCAAATAATTACTTAAAACAGTTACGTAACTATTTTGAATCAAAAAAATCATGTGCCAAATTGTTTTATTTTCATATACATATGCTATAATAGATTTGCAAATTCTTAATATAATTTCACAAAATTAGGGTTTTATGATTTGGTTTTATTTTTGAATCAACTTACACAGGTTTTTGAAAAAAAAAAAACTAAATAATCAATTAATGAAAAAAGAAATAGAATGTCACCTCAAGTTTCTTGTCATTTACATTTATGGTGCATAATCCCAGCTAAATCCATGTGTGTCATGTACAAATCATTCAATTTCAGCTTCTAAATTCAAAGATGAACTTTAGTTGATTGAGTTAATTAGTGTTCCAATATTCAGTTTGGACTAAAATAGACGAATATTGAGTTGTTTAACTGAGTATCTGTTTGTATTTGCAAGAGAAATGATGCATGACTTTATTGTGTTGATTTGGGGGTGAGTTGGGTTTGAGTTTCAATTGGTAAGTCAAGGAAGAAGATTGAGAAACAAATTACAAAAAGAAAAAGAAATGTTGATGAGACTAGAGAGAAAGAGACAAATTTTTGGTAGAGAGTAGCTTAAATCATAGATCTTAAGTGTCAAAAAAAGCCTATTGTTTGGGTTATAGTTGTGGTTGACAAGAATGATTTCTCTCTCTCTCAAAATATGAAGAAACACATTTTTTGATGTCCAACTCTCACACTGCAAGCTGCAACTGCCTTAATAATGTTGAAATGAAACATACTTGATATTGCTTGCTCTTTTGGGATTTAATGTGGGAGAAGCTTGGGTCCAATGACTTGTTATATGTTAACGGAGAAGATGAATATAATAAAAAAAAAAGAGTGCCATATTTTTACCCTTTTTATCATTATACTCCTTTTCACCATGTCTTGTTCAGAGTCATAGCAGCTCATTACTGCAAAATGTTTACATATGCTCCATTAGGGTGGTTATTCTCATGACGTCCATTCATTTGCCCACACAGAGCTCGGTCCAGGTCCAATGACTTTTTATATATCAACGAAAGTATTAATATTCAAAAAACTGAATGGAAAAGAAATGTTTAAAATGATTTCAAGTCCTCTATTTGCTTCACAATCTATTTTCTTTGGGCATTGACATTAATTTTTTCCGTAAAATTCATTTGTTTAGCAGGAGAATGGTAAAAAATGTAAGAAAAATAAATTT